TGATTGGTGAAAAGGTTTCATAGGCCTGGAAAGCCACATCTAATTGGTTTAGGGTTTAGGGGTTTAGGTTCTAGGGTTTAGGGTTTAGGGGTTTAGGTTGTAGGGTTTAGGGTTTTAGGGTTTAGGTTCTAGGGTTTAGGGTCTAGGGTTTAGGGTTTAGGGGGGTTCTTCAAAAACCGGGAGCTGTCGACCAGCTGCAAGAAGAATACTCTCACGAGAGCTTTTTCAGTCGTGCAGTGCTGGTCTTTGCAGTGATCGTCAGCTCCAGGGCGTTACCAAAACTTCGCAGTCCAGTCCCGAGGCCTGAACCTCGCACTAAATTCTAATGTCACTCCTTTCTACTAGGTCTTGACATCTGTGCTGGGTTAGAGGTTAGGCTTGGGTGTTTGTGGACAGGACGTTGATGTACCATCCCAAATCAGCATGCCACTGACGACTAATTCCGAAGCCCCGCCAGCTTAGGTGGATGCCGTGGCGAGTATTCCGAGGAACGTCAAGAATTCTGTGCCGGTCCCAGCGGTGTCGGGGTTTGCAGGTTGGTGGGCAGTAGTCCTTGGCTCAGATTTGTTTTCGGCCTCCCAGTAAGATCAGTACTTCTGCACAAGTTCATGCAGACCGGCTGCAAGTACTGCCATTACTTCTACTATTACTCCTACTCCAGCTCCTACTACCACGATTACAATACTACTACTTCTACTTCTACTTCTACTACTACTACTACTACTACCACCACCGCCACCACCACTTTTACCTCCACCTCCACCTCCACGGCGCCGACTACCACGACGACGACCACGACGACGACTACAACAAGCAGCAGTAGCGGCAGTAGTAGAAGCAGCAGTAGTCGTCGTCGGTAGGCGTCGTCGTCGTTGGAGGCGTCTTGGTCGGGGTCGGGGTCGTAGTCGTGGTGGTGGTGGTGCTGGTGGTCGTCGCCTAGCCGCAGCAGTCGCAGGAGTTGTTAGAAGCGTCATGCCGGGGCTCCTTGTAAGAGGCCAGTTGCCGGTTTAAGAACTTCGGGGCAGGTCTTCGTGGCTCCTTGCTGAGGTCGATGGCGTGACGAAGACTGTCGGGGCCCTCCAACTTGATTCGCTACTGCTTGCAGGAAGATGTCTTGAACAGCCATCACCACGGCGGCTTCGATCCTACTCCAGTCGAGCATGCATTAATTTGACTGAGGTGGATGATGTGCTGAGCACGCCCCGAAAGGTGCCATGTCGCTTTAGAGATGAGCCTGTTGTGAGTCGGCTGGCAGGGATTATGCAGAGCCGCCTGCATTCGTGTAGACTTTCGAAGGTCAAGGAATCTGTGGACAACACGGTGAATACAGGCCGGTGCTGCGGCGCGTGGTCTGCACTGTGCCAATGTTGCAGCTCCCGATGGTCTGGATTCCCTGGACAACCTTCAGATCTTATTGTAAGCCTCAAAATCTGCAAAAACATTTGTTTGAAGAACCAGAACCGCAGGCAAAAGCATCGTCGACGGAGTGGCTGGAGCCCTGCCCTCAAGACTCATCTGTTGTATCCCGTGCATGCAGTTGTGTTTTGATAATTTCTAGTATGGTGAAGACCTCTGTTGATTTTGTAGTAATATGTATCACTTGAAGCAAGCTTCATTGCCTATGTCTCCGTGCATGAGTATACGATGATTTCACTTACGATTTGTTTGTGCACTTGTGAATGGCTTAATCATCATTGTACTAACTGAAATGGCTGGTTCGTTTATTGATGCTAATTGTTGCCGCGTTGTTGGGCCGTCGGCTGTGGCCATTGGCGGCAAGTTCCCTCGATGCTCCGAGCCCAGAAGACTAAACGCTGAACCTGCCAAAGCCCAGGAAGTTAAACGTACCCCCTAAATTCTCAGCATCAAACCCAAAGCAACCTTCAATGGTCAAGGCAATGTCGCATCATATCAACTGCGTCTGATGGACGAACAACCCTAAACCCGAAACCCCAAAATGGGGTACTGAGGTAACGTAGGACTTCGTTCGTCAGCCGTGCCGGCCGTGCCACTTCAGGCCTTCTCCTTGATCGCCGGCGGTTTCTCTGAAAGAGCCTCAGTGGAGTGCCACTGCAATAGCTGCGGCGGACCTTTGAAGCGGTTTCGGGGTGTTGAGGTGTAACAAAGGGGGCCTTAATAATTAGAATAGGGTTTGGCGAGCTCCTTATTATAATAGACCCCCAAACCCTATTCGAATTATTACGGGCCGTATATGATGATGATGCACAGATCCTTGAATCGGGGGTTGAGAGGTCAAGCTTGACTTCGGGCTTTGGATTCGAGGGTCGAAGGTTTGGGGTCCCTCAACTTGAAAGCCGAAACCCTGAAGCCTAAACCCAAGGCCCATCTTGAGAGCAGGCCCCTGTAGAAGAGGAGTTCAAAAAATCACCCTAGGCCCAAAACCCGAAACCCCCAGACTAAACCCCTAAACCCTAAACCCCCTAACCCTAAGCCCTATAAGCCCTAAACCCCTAAACCCCTAAACCTCCAAACCCTGAACCCCTAAACCCCAAGCCCTAAACCTTTCCGAGGCCGTGGCTAATGCCGTCCAGGGCGCACAGGAGCTCGTCGCCAAGGTCGCTCCTCCGGCGCCGCCCCCGAAGGCCCCGGCCCCGAAGGCCGCGGCCCCGAAGGCAGCGGCGAAGAAGGCCCGGCGTGTTGGGACTTGGAAGATCGGGGTTTAGGACTTTTGGGTTTAGAGTTTTGGGGTTAGGGGTTTAGTGTTTAGGGGTTATGGGTTCAGAGGTTTGGAGGTTTAGGGTTTAGGGTTTAGGGTTTTGGGGTTTAGAGGTTTAGGGTTTAGGGTTTAGGGGTTTAGGGGTTTAGGGGTTCAGGGGAGCTTAGTAACTCAGGTCAAAAGCAATAGTAGGCTTAATCAGTAGCTTAATTCGGGTCAGAAATAGGCAGAACTGTAGCTGCCGTCCCTAGAACCCCACGCACTAGGTCCTCCAATCCTCTAAGTGTTATCATGGGTGTAGACTTGACCGCAGTGGTAACAAACAGTCAACTCAGATCATGTCGCGCGTCGAATTTCCGGGTGCTGGCCCCAACCGTTAAACCCCAACCCCAAACCCCTAGCCCCCAAGTCCAAACCTCTAACCCCTAAAGCCAGAACCCTAAACCCTAATGCTTAAGCTTTAAGCCCAAGCCGCGAGCCTGAACCCCAAACCCCAGCCCTAACAGTGCCAATATAGCGGACTGCATAGCTTAGAAACTTGTATCCCGCCAACAGAATCACTACGTGGACACACAACAGATATCTCAAACCCTATTTCATTACTTGAACTAGGGTTTGAGGAGCTATCTCGAACCCTATTTCAGTGATTAAACTCGGGTTTGAGGTATCTTGAATGGGCCAACCCTAAACCCCTAAACCCTAAACCCTAAACCCTAAACCCTAAACCCCAAACCCTGAACGCTTATTCGAATTCGCAGGAGATCGACCCCGCCGAGGCTCAAAAAGCCGATTTCAAGGTGCCTTTAGGGGTTTAGGGGTTTTGGGGTTTAGGGGTTTTGGGATTTTGGGGTTTGGGGGTTTAGGGTTTAGAAGGTTGAGGTCTCAGGAGAAAGCCAACCACTGGCATTTCAAGGTAATGCAGGTCTCATCACATGGGTAGTTGTCAAAATTATGGTCCCTTTTGGGGTACCCTAAATAATAGGTGCCGTATTATAATAAGGACCATAATTTTGACAACCACCCACATCCCTATTATAGGGATTTGAGGGTCCAAGGTTTAGGGCACGGATGCTGGAGATAGGACGAGAGCCCTGTCGGCTGACAGCCTTCGGGAGGAATTGAGGGGCCAACCAGAACCATAATGAGGATAATGATACTGCACTGGTAATAAGACTGCCTAGTGTTCCACCTGTGGGTTCCATAGTAATTATGCTGTAGAATAAAGCCATCAGAACCTCGGGTGGAATTACGTAGGCCTCTGTACTGGATTTGGGTTTTTTAGCATGCCTTGGCTCTCGAATTGAGGGTTCAGGATGTGAAGTAAGGAAGGATGGCATGCCAGATAGCTCACATGTTGACAGCTACAGTTTGCTACACCGGGTTGATACAGGTCGAGCCATACATACCCTGTCCCACATCCACGAATGTAGACACCCTAGCGCCCTCGAGCCTTAGCGCCGCTTCCCACATGGGTAGTTGTCAAAATTATTGTCCCTTTTGGGCTACCCTAAATAATAGGTGCCGTATTATAATAAGGACCCAAAAAGGGACCATAATTTTGACAACCACCCACATAGCCCCTTCCGTGCAGGCAGAGCTGGAAAAGGAAAGCAAAGCCCAAGAGGCGAGCAAGGACGTGGAGCTCGAGCCCCAGGTCTCTACTCTACTGCTACAGAGTCACCCTTCTATAAGGCCCTGCTAGAAAACTAAATCAGGCCCTTCTACAAACTTTTTTGGATCAGAGGTTCCGTTGCAGGGTTGCGGGGTGCTGTAGATATAAGCAGGTTTGCCATGATGGAATGCAGAGCTTTGGTACTGCTACCCGAGCAGGTGCCGCAAGAGTTCACAGCAGTGTCGCAACAGTGCTCGCGTAGGTTAGTAGTTGTAGCGGTGCAGTAGTCGTAGCGGTGTGAGAGCAGCAGCAGCAGGAGTAGCGGTAGTAGTAGTAGTAGTAGTAGTAGTAGTAGTAGTAGTAGTAGCAGTAGCAGTAGCAGTAGTAGTAGTAGTAGTAGTAGTAGTAGTAGTAGTAGTAGTAATAGCAGTAGTAGTAGTCCTTAGTAGTAGTAATAGCAATAACTGTAGCAGTAGTGGCAGTAATAGCAGTAGTAGCAGTAGTAGCAGTAGCAGTAGCAGCAGTAGTTGTAGTCGTAGTAGTAGCAGCAGCAGCAGCAGCAGCAGCACAGCAGCAGTAGTAGTAGTACTAGTAGTAGCAGTGGTAGTAGCAGTAGCAGTAGCAGTAGCAGTAGCAGTAGTAGTAGTAGTAGTAGTAGTAGTCGTCGTCGTCGTATTTATACAGTAGTAGTAGTAGTAGTAGTAGTAGTAGTAGTAGTAGTAGGTCGAGGAGTAGGAGTAGGAGGAGTAGGAGTAGGAATAGGAGTATAGGAGCAGGAGTCTAGGAGTAGGAGTAGAAGTAGGAGCAGGAGTGGGAGTCATCGGCGTCGGTGTCTGTTGCGTCGTCGTGGTACTTGTAGTGGTATTGGTAGTGACTAGCCGCAGCAGTAACTGCCGTTGTGAGCCAAAAACAGCAAGCAAATAAGTACAGAAGTCCTCAAGCTTGCGAGCAAGCAAGCAAGCAAGGCAGAACGAAGCAAGGAAGCGCGTAACCAAGTAGGTGACTAGATAAGTGACTGAGTGAGTGAGTTGTCGCAGAAGCAGCAGAAATCAGAGGAGCGTAGACACAATCTTCTTGAGCTTTCTGGCTTTTTGCTGCTGAGCTCATGATGGCTGTTTGTGCCTGCGATCTTTCAGAATCCTTAACCTTAAGCCTTAAACCCTAAGCCCCTAAACTCCTAAACCCTAAACCCTAAACCCTAACCCCCAAACCCCTAAACCCTTAACCCCTAAACCCTAAACCATTAACCCAAAGCCCCTGGACCCAGAAGCCAACTTCAAGTGCTCGCTCAAGGCCAGAAAAAGCCTAGGCTGCAAAATGAGGCTCTGCGGAGCAGCGGGAGTGTGGGTGCTAATATAGGAGGGTTTAGGGTTTAGAGTAATATTATAGGGGCCTTCATAAGTAGAATAGGGTTTAGGGTTTAGGGTTTAGAGTAATATAGGGGCCTTCATAATTAGAATAGGGTTTAGGGTTTAGGGTTTGGAGAAATACAGGGGCGTTAATAGTTAGAATAGGGGTTTGATGCCCACTGTACTATACTGATAACAAGGAACCCCCAAAATAGTCTTGGTTATTATCTAGGCCCCTACATTATCGGGATTTGGATCTGCTTGTGGTTGGGGTTTTAGGCTACAGGGAGTTAGTTAGTAAGGTTCTGAGCACTGGGGTTATACGTAATTATAAGTTTAGCTACCACATGGGTAGCTCTAGTTACTAAGTCCCATGATCCTTTAAGTAGGGCTTTGGTTCTTGAGTCTAATTTGGGTTCAGCATGTTGGGTTCAAGCTGCAGAGTTCACGTTTTAATCCATCAAAACCCTGAATCCTAAACCCTAAACCCTAAACCTTAACCCCTAAACCCCTAAACCCCTAAACCCTAAACCTCAAACCGAGGTGCATCAGACTTGGTGCGCCGACACTCCCCGAAGCCCTGAGCCCTAAATCCGACGCGTCCCTGAAAATACTGGTTCAGGGTTTAGGGTTTAGGGTAGTATAATATGGGGGGCTTAGGGTCCCATGTGTGGGTTTTTTAGGGTTTATAGGATTGATAAGGGATCAGTGTGGGTTTCGGGGTTTAATATAGGGGCCTAAATAATTACCTATACTATTTTGGGGGGGCTACTTATTGTAATTATAGTATCATGTACCACCCCAAAATACCATTTGTGGGCGGGGGGGGGGGGTCCTTATTATGATTATTGTATAATATACCCCAAAACCCTATTGTAACTATTTCGGCCTAAACCCTAAACCCTAAACGCTAAACCCCTAAACCCTAAACCCTACATGACCTTGAAACCCACGCTCTAAAACACTGCATCCTGGAGCCAGTGCCTCGTAGTTCGCTCTGCCACTCTTCCGGTCCGCCGCGTGGAAGTAGCAATGCTCCTGCTCATAAAGATATACATATTTAGATTTACTTATAGCTGAAACTATGATAAATAGATTACATGGTAAGTTATATATATATATATATGTATGTATGTATGTATGTATGTATGTATGTGTGCATAACATATATACATATATACATATATATATATATATAGATTATGTATACATATATATATATATACATAGATATGAAGCGGGAGCCTCTGCCAGCCTGCTGCCCTCCACTCCCAGCTTGTTTAGGCCTCAGGGTTTCAGAGTTTGAACAACGCTGCAAGTCTGAGTTGAGGGACTGGGTAGCAGTGAGCAGGTCTTGAAGCATTTTCTTTGGGATTAGAGCTAGGTCAGGCTGTTTACCACCAGAATCCATATTAGGATTAATGTAGAAGCCTAAACAATTTGCAATAGCATTCCTCAGGGTTCCTTATAATAACTGTTGTATTTAAGGAACCCATAACCCCATTCTAATTACTGTATTAAGGCCCCTACATTAGGACTATGTCGGCGTGCACGCCAAGGTGAAGGATTATCTTGCAGCGAATAAACACATACTATACACGCCCGTATAGCAAGGTTCACAGTTTCATGCGGAAGACTCCGAGACCGCTGCGGCCCGGTGCAGGATGAGCAAGATAGGGGGCTCAATAAGTAGAATAGGATTTGGGGGTATATTCTACTATGTTATAATATGGAGCCCCCGAAACCCTATTCTAACTATTAAGGCCCCTACATCATGCCTTTTTGCCTTCCCCTTCGCAGAAAGAGGATGGCTCTGTCAAGTAGGTGCCTGGATGGGCCTGGCGTCTGTGCGGAAAGCCTAAACCCTAAAGTATGAACTTGCCTGAACGGCCTAACCCTGACCCCCAGGTACCTACTGTTTAGGGTACTAGAGCCCCTCGGGCCCTCTATCGTAGGTACCTGGGAGGTTAGGGTAAGCCACACAAAGGACATTGAACCTGTTAAACCTGAACCACACGCCCACATGCTGTCACGACAGCATCACTACTGGTACCACCACCACGAGACCACGCCCACGCGCACGTCTACAATATACCATGATTCTATGGCTACCGCCCCTCTACCACCGCAACTATCGCCACCGGCACTCAAACGAATGAATGCTGCCGCATTTCCAAGTCCATCTGGGTGATGAGTGTGGGGGGATCGACGGTTGCAGCTGAAGCACCAACTTTGCCAGAACTCGGTAAGATCCATGTCATTGGCCAATTCATGGCTGGCGACCTGTCATCCCCCTGTCTGTATGCGAAGCACATACATGCGTTCTGCTTACCAATTTTCCCACTTTTCTAAGGCATTTCAATTCTGCGCGGCTTGCTTGTTTGTGCGGTTGACCCACTGGTTCCGTTGCACTTACGTCGATTTGGGTTTTGACCCTCACAGGCCATTTATAGTGCCTTGAGATTCCAGGCTTCAGGTTTGCCATGACACAGATCTTCATTCCTAAGTCCGCTGTTCCCTTTATTTATAGGAAACCCCAAAAAGTTGGAAACCGGATTCAGGGCAAATAATGCTGGGATTCCCTATTGGGTTTCCAACTTTTGGGCTTCTACTGTACGAGTATGTTTGTCGGAAGCAGTTGGTCATTCATGTCTGCGCAGAATGATCGCACAGACTGCACATTCCTTTCGATGAAAAGGGCCCCAGGATAGTTTGCAAGCATTAGGCTAGGGTTTGGGGTTTAGGGATTGAGGGCATTGAACTAGGGTTTTCCTCGAGCCACACCCGCTCGCATACCTATAGTATCCCTTGTAGTTCCTTTTTTAGAAACAGCAAGTTTTTCTGGTTAGGGTCCTAGAAGATAAACTTGGAGAACCAGAAAAAGAGACTATAGGCAAATCGAAAATGACTCTGTGGATCCAGAACCCTCCGAAGTTTGGTGGCAGTTTCGTGCCTTGCAGTATGAACTGTAGGCGTGCCCAGAAGCCTGAACAACAACCAGTACCATTTCTGAGGGTCCTTGCTAAAGTTAAAGTATACTACAACCCAACCTAGTCTTACTGAGGCCCCAATGGTGGGCCCACAAGGGTTCGTCCAGGCTTCGTTGGGCTTGGGACAGCGTCATGTTCACAGACAGCCTTGAGGACATCACACATGCCAGACTTCGATGGAGCTTTTGGAGCAATTCCCTCCATAAGCCTTCACACCCTCCTGGCACTCCTTCACGGAGCGAGCTGCCCTTAAGGGGACCCTGGTATGGAACCCTAAGGTACCCTTTAAGGGGACCGTACTATGGAACCCTATACCTAAAGAACGACTGTGGCCCCTGAAGTTCCGAGAGCCCGCGGTCAACAACAGTGGGCCCTAAACCCATCACCGAGTCCAACAGTCCGACCCGAAACAAGCGCCGAAGTCAGGGTTTAGGGTTTAGGGTTTTGGGTTTAGAGTTTAGGGTTTAGGGTTTAATATAGGGGCCTTAATATTATCGGGCTCCTCATCATAATTATAGTATGCCCAAAACCCTGTTCCAATCATTCCTATAATACCTTGGGCCCCCCTGAATCATGAACCCTTGATGCCGACAGCCGTAAGATGCTGCAAGCTCGACCTCCTAAGCCCCATGACCCTGAACCCTAAACCCTAACCCCAAAGCCTAAACCCTGAACCCCAAACCCTAAACC